TTTTGAAGCAAAATACAGAGAAACAAAGCTTGGACTGTAAGCATATGCACGAAAATCTGACTGAGTTCGAGCAATTCTAGTTTCCCTCAGATTCTTTCTATTTGGATCGTAACAAACCACAATCCAATCATTGTACGACATCAGTGATAAACCGACTCCAACTCAGTCTATGACTGTTGCACAAATAGACTTCCAGTCTAACACGAACTCCCAGTCCAACACGGAATCCTCACCGCTTGCTGCACCGCTTGCTGCAGATCATGTTTTGTCCTGATTCACCTACTTGTAATCCTAGTTCTACATATGTATGACTTGTAATCCTATAAATATGAATGCACGAATGCTCACTCTATTCATTGAGTTGAGTTTATAATTACTATCTTTCATGGTATCAAGAGCCAGCGTCTCACGACAAAGGTTCATATTATAATTTTTTTCTTTTCTCTCCGTCTTCTACAGTTATGGCGTCTTCTTCGTCTGCTACTGCTGCTCCCTCTGTCATGAATTTTCTCACCATCAAGCTCGACCGCAACAACTACCCTCTCTGGCGTGCTCAGTTCCTTCCCTTGCTGCGCAGCCGCAACTTACTATCTTATGTTACTGGTGAAAATCACTGCCCATCTGCTTTTCTTCTTGATGACAATGGTAAACTCACTGACAAGGTCAATCCAGTATATGCTGAATGGATACAGACTGATCAGATGATCCTTTCTTGGATTACGAGTTCCCTTACTCCCAAGGTTCTTGCTACAATCGTCAACAAAATTGATTCGGCTTCTGCCTGGTCGTCTCTTCAAGAACGGTATGCTTCTACGTCTCAAAATCGTATTATCCAAATGCGTACAGAATTGATGAATACTGCTCGTGGTAATCTTTCTATTGCTGACTATCTCGACAACGTCAACGCCATCGCCGACAACCTTGCTCTTTCTGGCGCCCCCGTCTCTGAATCTGACTTAGTTGCCATTATTATGAGTAAAGTAGGTCCACAATATGAGACCACTGTTGCTTCCGCACAGGCTCGTGACACTCCCATCACCTACAATTCATTGGAAGCCTTATTACTGAGTGCCGAGCAACGTTACAACGCCTTTTCTCTTCCCTCTGATAGCGGCACCTCTGCTTTTGCTGCTGTCCGTGGCGGTCGCAGTGGCTTCCGTGGCCGTGGTAATTCTTTTCGTGGTGGACGTGGTGGAAGCTTCTCCCGTGGTGGTGCTGGTAACTTCTCACGCCAAAATTTGGCTGCTCATGACTCCGGTTCTACCACCTCTGCAGCCCCTTCCCGCGGGTCCTCTTCTTCCTACAATGGCCTTCTTGGTCCAGCCCCTGGCTCCAGCACATCTCCTGGATCCTTGCCTGTTTTTTCCTCCTCTGGGCGTATTCAATGTCAGATTTGTCAACGCTTTGGGCACTCGGCTATTGATTGCTTCAATCGTCTCAATATGTCCTACGAAGGTCGGGTTCCCTCCTCTCGTCTTCAAGCCTACACCGCTGCACCCTCTTCCCGTGCTCCCGCCGCTGCACCCTCTGTCCAGCAATGGCTTTTTGACTCCGGCGCAAATTCTCACATAACCAATGATGTCAACCATCTCCAAAATCCTCGTGAGTATCATGGCACCGATCAAATTCGTGGTGTGAATGGTGGTCCAGGTTTGAACATCTCAAAAATTGGTGACTCGTACCTTCAAACTAAATATGCTTCTTTTCGTTTGCCTAACACCCTCTATTGTCCCCAAGCCTCCACTAATGTGATTTCTTTGAACCGTTTTTCGGATGATAATAACTGCTTCTTTACTTTACATCCCCATTTTTATCGTGTGCAGGATTCACGGACGGGGAGGATCCTTTTACAAGGCCGGAGTAACAATGGACTCTACCCGTGTTCTAATCGCCCATCTCATCAAACCCATGGTGTTTTTGCTTTCTTAGGTGAACGTGTAACTGATGCCTTGTGGCATAGTAGATTAGGTCATCCTTCGTTTTCAATTTTAAAACATTTAATTTCTGCAAATAAATTGCCCATTCAAGGCTCGTTTCAAAATAAATTTTGTCAATTTTGTCCCCTCGGAAAAAGTCATAAATTACCCTTTTCTTTGTCTACATCTGTGTCTTCTTCTCCTTTAGCGTTAATTCATTCCGATGTTTGGACTTCACCCTCTTTATCTGTTTCTGGCTTTAAATATTATGTGGTGTTTGTGGATGATTTTTCTCGTTATACTTGGCTTTATCCATTACGTGCAAAATCTGACGTTTTTCCTACATTTGTTACTTTTAAAAATTTGGTTGAAAATATGTTCACTATTAAGATTAAAGCTTTTCAAACCGATGGTGGTGGGGAATTTGTTAATAAGGCCCTTAGTACGTTTTTACATGACCATGGTATTTTACATCGTCTTACATGTCCTCATCACCCTGAACAAAACGGATTAGCCGAGCGTAAACATCGTCATTTAGTCGAGACTGGGCTTACTCTTTTAGCCCAATCTGGTTTACCTACTTCGTATTGGGCCGAAGCTTTTCATACTGCTAATTATATCATTAACCGTTTGCCCACTCGTCTTTTACACCATATGTCTCCTTATGAAAAAATATTTCACAAACCTCCTCATTATCTGTTTTTCAAAGTTTTTGGTTGTGCCTGTTATCCCTACTTGCGTCCTTATAATACTAACAAATTACAATTTCGTTCAAAACGGTGTGTTTTCTTAGGATATTCATTAAATCATCAAGGTTATAGATGTTTGGATCCCACTACGGGACGTGTCTTTCTTTCTCGCCATGTTGTGTTTGATGAGAACAGTTTTCCATATCAAGACTCCATTGTTACTTCGTCATCACCACTCTCCTCGTTTGTGGATCCCGTTCTCGAGATTGGCCCTTCCAAAACACCTACTACTGCCATCCACTCCTTCCCGCACCCACCTCATCCTATTACTCCAGCCGTGTCTACCCCACCTCAGCCTTCTACCCAACGCCCACTTCAAGTATACACTCGCCGATCCCCACGCCCCAAACCTTCTCAGCCTCATGTCCTACCTGCATCACTCTCTACCGTGCCCTCCAGTTCTTCTCCTGAAACAGTCCCTACATCAAACCTGCCACCAGTCACACCCGCCCCATTGGTTTCATCTACTCCCGAGGTAAGTGCCGTGTCCCATTCTATGGTCACTCGAGGCAAAAGTGGTATTTGCAAACCTAATCCCAAATATACTTATGTTGCTACTGTTACTAATGCCTTGGTTGAGCCTACATGTTTTAGTCAGGCTAATAAAGATTCCGAATGGCGAAAGGCGATGGTTGACGAATTCAATGCTTTACAACATAATGGCACTTGGACTTTGGTTCCGTTTCAACCCACTATGAATATTCTTCCAAATAAGTGGGTATATAAAATCAAGCGACGTTCTGATGGCTCACTTGAGCGTTACAAGGCACGGTTAGTAGCTAACGGGTTTCATCAACAAGAGGGTTTAGACTATGCTGAGACATTTAGTCCTGTTGTCAATCATGCGACTATTCGGTTAATTCTCTCCATTGCTATTCATTTCAATTGGCCTCTTCGACAACTTGATGTCCAAAATGCGTTCCTTCATGGTTCTTTGAATGAAGAGGTCTATATGCGGCAACCACCGGGATTCATTGATCCTCAACGTCCATCTCATGTGTGCAAGTTGCAACGTTCTTTATACGGTCTTAAACAAGCTCCTCGTGCATGGTTTCAATGTTTTTCCAATCACTTGGAAAATTTGGGTTTTGTATCTTCTCATGCAGATTCCTCATTGTTTACTTTCTTTGATGGTTCCGTGGTTATTTACTTGTTAATTTATGTGGATGACATTCTTCTTACTGGCAATAGCATGGACCATATCACTCGTTTGATTCATCAGTTGGGCACATTATTTTCAATGAAGGATCTTGGACCACTTCATTATTTCTTAGGTATGGAGGTTCATCGTACTAGCACGGGCCTTCATCTTACTCAGACAAAGTATATCACTGATCTTCTCCAACGCACCAACATGCTGGAATGCAAGCCCATTTCGACCCCAGCAATTAGTGGCCGACGCCTCAGTCTCTCTGATGGCGACCCATTGTCTGATATCACCGAGTTTCGTAGCATTGTGGGTGCCTTGCAGTATCTTCTCTTCACTCGTCCTGATATTGCCTTTGCCGTTAACCAGGTTTGTCAGTTTATGCATAAGCCCACAACGACACATTGGGTTGCGGTTAAACGCATCCTCCGTTATCTTAAAGCTACTCCAAAACATGGGATTGTTTATCGCTCGAGTTCCCTTCAGCTCACTGCCTATGCTGATGCGGACTATGCTGGTGATCCGGACGATCGCCGTTCTACTGGTGGTTACTGTATATTCCTTGGTGATAACCTCATCTCGTGGAGCTCCAAGAAGCAACGTGGTGTCTCACGCTCCAGTACAGAAGCTGAATATCGACAGCTTGCCTACACAGCCGCTGCTCTCTCTTGGTATCGCACCTTGTTTCGAGAGCTTCATCTCCCTCTTGCTCCGCCCCGCCTCTGGTGCGACAACATTAGTGCCATTTCCGTAGCTTCCAATCCAGTTCACCACCAGCGCATGCGGCATGTCGAAGTTGACTATCACTATGTTCGGGAAAAGGTAACTCGTCACGAGCTCATCGTTTGCTATGTCTCCTCCACGGATCAGCTGGCTGATCTTCTTACCAAGGGATTGTCTGCAGTTCGTTTTGCATCCTTGCTGTCCAAACTTCCAGTTCGTGACCTCCCTGTACGTTTGCGGGGGAGTGATAAACCGACTCCAACTCAGTCTATGACTGTTGCACAAATAGACTTCCAGTCTAACACGAACTCCCAGTCCAACACGGAATCCTCACCGCTTGCTGCAGATCATGTTTTGTCCTGATTCACCTACTTGTAATCCTAGTTCTACATATGTATGACTTGTAATCCTATAAATATGAATGCACGAATGCTCACTCTATTCATTGAGTTGAGTTTATAATTACTATCTTTCAATCAGGATTTCCCCATTGCTTAAAAATATCAGTGGTTCATACAGGTCACAGCTGCGTTCCCTCAGATACAATTTTTCGACCACAAGAGTTTTAGTCCAGGAGTCCTGGACACCATACTCTTTCATAACCCACATGTCAAATTGTCTAGGATCGTCACCATACACGCATACGAAGAGACAATCTCCCACCACTCCCAACTTCAAACAATCTGCAAATTCCTTCTCCCTAAACTGTGAATACCTAGTACTCTCGGAAACCCAGTGAAGAGCTCCGTGCAGAAACACATTGAATGATAAGCAAACATAGTCCCAAGGTGCATTCTCAATGCTTCTGCAAACTCCCGTACCAATGGTGGATATCTCAGTCTCATATAAGTTGTCAGGTGAGGACGATTCACACTCAGGATAAAATGTTTGCAACACCTTGTACTCATTCGTCGCCGCACTAAAACCAAGTCCAACAAAATTCCAGACTGCCTACCATTATTAGCAGGCGGAAAAGCGATGTATTCGCCCAAAATTGGGTTGCACACATACAAGGGACCATATTTTCCAGGTCCAGACAAACAAGGCAAACCGTTGCACGAGTTTATCACCTTAAAATCGGAAATGGGCAGGCTATTTTTTAGGGTAAAGCTCATTTTCTCGATCCCCAAATGAGAATCGGCGAGTTCCTCTATCCAGGTATAATCCAGTTTCCTTGATTTGGTTTTAGGGGGTGTGGTCTTGATCAAGATGCCGGGAGTGGGCGATCTCCAGAGGCAGAGATGGGAGCATAGCGGGTCGGTAATTAGTGAAAGCCAGGGTTTGCAAACGAACCTGCAGTTGGAGAGGGTCTTGAAGTTGAGCCTTGAGAAAATTTCCAAGACTAAAGCCTGTGGGAGTTGATGAAATTTGCAAAGAGGTCCTTCGGGTTGCGGCCATTCTTCTCCTAATCGTGCTTCGCCGCCGATCAGCGGCGTGATTGCCACTCTTTTCCTATGATTCATTTTGTGGGTTTTAGGTTTCTGAAGGAAATTGGAGAGTTTGAAAGAGAAGGAGAAGCGAATTTATGGAAAACCCGGAAAATCACGAAGGAAGAGATTTTGGCGGCAAATTTTCCCGCGTGAAATCCAATTTTGGTCTGCGGAAAAGGCGCCAAAAATTGGATAAAAACTGGGCTGGGCCCGGATGATTAGAATAGGCCCAATAGGGCATGGCCTTCAACATGACTTCTTTGCGTTTGTCGGGAAATTAAGTTAAAACTCAAAAGAAACCTTCTGAGTCAAACAATTACATACAAGTTAGTAGCAATGAACTTACATTAACAAAAGTATTTAACAAAGCAAGTTATGACTGCCATTTTCATCGATGGAGGCGGAGTTATCCTGAAGAATTTTCAAGAGGAACCAGTGCTGGAGCATCGTAGACACATCGGGAACCCATTACCGCTGAAAACATAACCCAAGTGCTCATTGCATAGAGCACACGGAGCCCCTGCCCTCCAAGTGAAATCCGGCTGAAAAGAGATTGTCTAGGAAAGACACAGTAACAACCATCAGATGGATTCGAGAAAACAAAATGTGATCGCTAAGAAAATAGACTGATGAACTATGAGGACTCACGTTCGCAGAGGAATTCGTGCTTGTTGGAAGACTTGCTTCGAAGGAAGGCCAGGCACGGCCCAAGTTAAGTTTTGTAGACTTGTGGTGTTGCATCTCAGAGGCAGAATCATAACTCCCTTCACGAGGAAGATCAGAACTCTCTTCAGCAGGAAGATTGTCACGTTTCCTACAGCCTTGCACCCTGCATATCATATAGTAAGCATGCCAAAATGAGTTGATATAATTCCCGACAAACGTCTCAGACTCCTCCCTAAACATCCATGTATCGTACAAATTTATGGAGTACAATAGTTCTGCTTTTGCTGATAACCATTGCCACTATGTTTTGATATGTGAAAAAAAAAAAAAAGATCATCTCGAATTTAACAAAAGAAAATGAACAAAACACATAACAAAAGGCTCTGTCATAAACCGCCTGAAGAGTACTGGTCGGCGATAGAGATTGGAGTCATATCAAAACAATTCAAAATGCAGAGATATTGACAGAAGTTAAGTTGCGATAGATTTCCATATTTTCAAATATTCAAGGCCTGGATCGTATTTCCGAACATACACATCAACTTCCACAAACTGAAAGCAAATAAGAAGTTGTAAACTTGTAACCGAAAAATGCAATTAAATCTATGCATGTATAAGTGAAGAAAAATTGCAGTACCTCTTCACCTCCTCTGCCCTTGAAACATTATAGAGTGAAACAAAGCATGGACAGTAACCAATTGCATGAAACTGATTTCGGGTCTGAGTAATTCTAGTTTCTCTGAGACTCGTCCTTTTCTGGTTATAGCAAACCACAGCCCAATCATTGTAAGACATTACAATTTCCCCATTTCTCAAAAACACCATGGGTTCATACAAATCGCAACTAAGTTCTCTCGGATACAAGTTTTCGATAACAAGAGTTTTAGTCCAAGTCTCTCGGATACCATACTCCTTCATAACCCACATAACAAATTTACTAGAATCGTCCCCAAACACACACAAAACAAGACAACCTTCCAACACTCCCAACTTCAAACAGTCTGAAAATTGCTTCTCCAGCGGTCCAAAGTAGCTAGGTGGGGCAACTGCCTGAAACTGTTCCCTTTCAAAGTTGAAGGAATTTATCAGCTCAGAAACATCGCTACCGCGAGAAACCCAATGCAGAGCTCCATGAAGATAAGCATTGAAGGGCAACTGACAGCCAAGGCTCCCAGAAGCAGTTCCAATGCTTCTCCAAACCCCCTTACCAATGGTGTATATCTCAGCCTCATAGCTGCACTTATCATTGCTGATCGGTTTAGTCAACGGAACAAACGTTTGCAACACCTTATACTCACTAGTCCCAACACTAAATCCAAGTCCAACAGAGGTAAAATTAGGCCTAGCCCTATCGCTCCGTGGCACGGTGATGAACTCACCCAAAATTGGATTGCAGACATACAAAAGGTCCCCTCTTTCGGGTCCGGACAAGCAAACTAAACCATTGCAAGAGTTTATCAGATTAAATTCAGAAATGGGCAGGCTAAATTTGGGGGTAAACCTCAGTTTTTCGTAGCGAAAGCGAGAACCGGAGGATTCCTCAATCTGGGTAAAATCGAGCCTTCTTGTTATGCTTTTGGGGGGAAAAGTCTTGATCAGTATGCCAATGGGGGATCGTGAAGTGCAGAGAAGGGAAAATTGCGGGTCGGAAATTAGAGTAAGCCAGGATTTGCAAACGCACCTGCAGTCGAAGAGGGCTTGGATGGGGAGCCTTGAGAGGATGTCCATGACTATAGACCGCTGGAGGAGTTGAAATTTGGAGGGAAGTCTGGGCTGCTGCCATTGCCGTCGTTCTTGTTGGTGGTTGTTGGTCGTTGGCGGCTCTGGTGTATCTGCTGCTGCTGCTCTTTTTTTTGGATTCGTGGGGTTCTGCCCTTTCCTTCCTCTCGGCATCTTTTATTTCCGGCGGCGGAGGGAAATGAGAAGGCAATTGGCCGCGAAGGTTAGAAGTTGGACCGGTGTCCTTCTCGTTCACTTGTACCAGTTGGACTAGTCAAGACACTAGAGTTTTGGGTCAGCAATTTTTGTTTGTTTGTTTGTTAGATAAGGAAGTCAAACGGGTTCAAATTTACGCGATGGTGCAAAGACAACACTCTTTTTTATAATTCACGCGGTAATGCAAAGACAATACTTATTTCCACTATTGCACAGAGTAAAAGCAGCTTGATGAGGGATGATGACAACCTCCGAAGACTTTATAACCGAATAATTTTCACGATGAACTGGCGTCGAAGAATAATTTTCACGATGAAATGCTCGAGGGGAACTCGAGGACAACTTAATCGGCCTCGAGTGGCTATATCTCTAATCACAGAAGACGAATTCTAAAAAGTTTGTCTTCCAAATTTCCCATCAAATAATTGCTTGAACTTGGAGCACTTTGAGACCGATTCTACGGTCCCTACAGGCACTCGGTGCCTGTAGCTGCTGAAGAAAAATCACGTTTAACACAATCCAATGTTGTTGCTGGAATAGGCAGGAAAAATTCATCCATGAAACAAGAAACTAAAACAAAGAGGTTTTATTGGCCCTTCAGCTATAATAAAATATCATAACAGACTCACAAACACAACATTCAGATTAACAATCTTTGTGTTCTCTTCATACACGGCAGAAATCACGTTAAGGTTTAAGCGTAAGAAAGCAGCTAGATCTGTTGTGACAACGATCCAAAAGACCTCATCATGCAGACATTTCAGGAACAAGCTTGATGGAAACGCTGTTGACACAGTGGCGTTCATCTGTCGGCACCTTGTGCCCTTCCCCTTTAAAAACATGCCCCAAGTGACCGCCGCAAGCTGCACATGTGATCTCAGTTCTCCTCCCATCTGGGTCAGGCTGAAGTACGTACATAGTTGTTTCAGTTACATCCAATGTCAGTAAAATGCATTAGCTAAAAACAAAAACAAACAACATTTGTATTATCAGCAACAGGAACACACCGATCGGTTTATGGCACCAGGCAGACCCTCGTAGAATGCAGGCCAACCGCATCCGGAATCAAACTTGGTAGTTGACTTATAAAGCGGTGTTCCACAACCAGCACATTTGTAAACCCCTTCTTCAAAAACCTTGTCATATTCCCCAGTGAATTTTGGCCTGCATAACTCCAACCGTAAGCAAGTCTAACTTAATCAATTCACACATTGTGCAGATACTAATATCTCCCCAACATTGTACTCAAGGCGAAGGGATTAGATAACATGTATTAAATTGGTAACTGGAGTAATTTCCTCCGAAATCTAATTCTATACATATTATATACACAAGAAGTAGGGTAAATTTGGAGATTTCGCAAAATTTTGTATCTTTCAGAAGTTTGACAACTCGATGATTCTCGATTTTAGTTCAATTACTGCTGGAAGGGCCTAGATTGGGAATTTTTCTAAATCTTAATGGAAGACAAAAAGGTCTTCAACGTGTTAACAAAAACGAACATAAAAACTAAAAACTGAAAACGAAATGGTTATCAAATAGCCTTAGTTTTGCAAGCAGACTTAAAAACAGTTAAATACCATTAGTAAGCAAGTAAACCCTAAAGCACTTCATGGGTGTTCTTCTGCCAATTCATCACAGATGCTATATTTTTTGTGGCTAACAAATTGTTAGACTTCGAATATGTTATACAATCTTGTAAATGACAACATGTTTTATGAGTTATATTATCAAAAATACAAAAAAATTATCAGAGAAACAGAAGATTTAAAAAAAAAATATTGAATATACCATCCAAGAACAACAAAATCCATAAATTTCTTCAATCGACCAGACTAATCACAAAATCCAGAGAAAAGACAGAACCCATCAAATTCCAAATACCACATGAGAATTGAGACATATCTAAATTGATCATAGTATAAAATATGATGACCAAAATTAGAAATAGGAACAGGCAGATCAAGAAAAGAGAAAGGAATTACTCAGTTCCTTTCTCGCGCAGAATCCTGAACTGTTCCGGGGAGAGAACAGCCCGCCATTCTTCCTCAGTTTTCTGAACTGAACCTGGCGGTGCAGGTGTAGGTGCAGCCATGTCTTCACTCTCCTCGCTGTTTTTTTTGGTCGATACGTTTTCTTGGAAAACTTTTGAATAGACTTATGTGGAAATTCTAATATTGAACATGGACGCAAAATCAACCATATCCTCTGTTAGAGCATCTCCCGAAGATTCCTAATTAGTCGAGGATTTTCGTTGACAGTACACTAAATATCATAATAAAGATTATTTTTTCTTATTTTTTAAATTAAGAAAAATTAATGAGAAAATTTTTTAAAATTTTGAATTTTAACGAAAATGATAAAATAAAAAATAACGTAAATAGTATCAGGATTGATTTTTTAGTGTAAAAATATGGTTTTCGTTAAAATGAACAGTACCGGTAGCTTTTCATTAAAGTTCTCTTTAAATTATGGTGTATACTCACCGTATAACTAATCATTTATCATGTGTTCTTTCACATAACTCTAATTAACTTTCATATTAAATATTACTTCTTTAATTTTGAAAAAAAATTAACAAAAGTTAAGTAAACGAATACGTTACAAATGTTTAGGTGCATGGTGAGAAAAAAAATTTAATTATTAAATTTTATAACTGAGTAAATTGGTTAATTATTAAAAGGTGATGTTAGTCACATTTTTCTTATTTCTCATTTTTTTTTTAATCGTTTGATCAAATAAATTAAAAAAAGTTATAGCATAAAAAAATGTGTGACTAGTATCTCTCATTATCATTTTTCGAAAAAATAATCACCACTCATTAATAAATTCAAAACATTAAATAATCAATTTAAATTAATTTAAATTTGCTATCAATTTTGAAAGTGAACATTTGATTTGAACTCTTTGTCATCGGTTATGTGATGCGGCCCCTGTAACTAAAGGCCCAATAGTTCGAAATGGGCTGAGTAGGGCTTGAATCTGGCCCATTACCCACATCGTCACTTGGCGTTTCATGCTTTCAAGTTTCGAAGCTCAAAACTTGCTGGTTTTCTCCGCGATTTCAAAAGTTTGAAACAAATAGATGAGAGCAAACCATCAGCAAGAGAAGACACACTCTGATCACACAAATGTATCCGGGATTTGGCAAGGCGTCAGGACCAACAGGACCGCCGGGATCGCAGCCACTTTTCGGAAACCTTGGCGGCGGTCGGCCGCCTTCGCCTTCTCCGCCGACCACCCCTCCTTTTTCCGGCGCTGCTCCGCTGCGTTCTCCGTCCAGGTTCGCTCTCTCAATTTTTCTTCATTGTTCATCACGTGGGTTTCTTTGGGATATTCGAAACTAATCCAAAGTATCAATCTTTTTTTTTTTTTTTAATTTTGTATATCGCTCTCTAAGAATTTCTGATATTATATTTCTCTTTTTTTGGTTTAAGCATATGACAGAAATTTGGATAAATGGGCAGACTTTAGTGCCCAATTTTGTATGAGTAGAAGAGTGTTTTTGAAGAAAAAGAAAAGAATGTATTCGCGTGATCGAGTTCAAATTCTTGGGTGCTTGTTAAATCAAATTCTATAAAAATAGCTCACGTCAGCTTTCTAAATCTGTATATCTTCTTTGAGTTTAAGGGTTATGTGCAAGTCTGGATTGATTCGAAAGAGCATTGTAAAAATATATGATTGAATATCAATTGAGCAATTGGGTTCGGTTATGTTAGGGGGCCTGAATCTCTAGGTCGTTTGGCCTTTGAAAGAGCTCCTTCTGCTGCGAGTCATCCCTGCAGGAGTCCCAATGCGATCACAAAGTTATTGTTGTATGTTTAATTTATATGCATATGTCATAGCAAAATATGGTGCTGTGATATATTATTGATGTATGAATGTGCTGAGTCACATATATTGGTGTTTATTTGAACTTAGGGGGCCTGAAGCTCCAGGGCAGCTGTATTCTCTTCCTTTAGGCTTTGAAAGAGTTCGTCCTGCTGCGAGTCAACCTTTCCCATCTGCGGGAGTCTATAGGTAAGGACAACCCTTATTACAGTAAACAGCTAAATTTGTTATTATGTTTTTCACTTGGTGTTATATGATTTTTGCCGTATTTATCTGTCTCAATGCTGTCACATTCTTATGGTGTATGTGTAATTTATGACACGTCATAGAAAAAAATAGTGTTGTGATATATTATTGATGCATGAATGTACCTGAGTTATGCATAAACACCTGTTATTAAATAGCCATTGAGCATTTGGGTTCCGTTATGTATTAAAAACTTATTGATTTTATTTCACCATAGGCGGCCTGAATCTTCAGGGCAGCTGCATTCACCTCCTTTGGCTTTTGAAAGAGCTCGTCCTGCTGCAAGTCATCCTCACCCATCTGCAGGAGTTCATAGGTACGACAATGCCTGTAATTTTACATTCATTATTTTGTGTTTAAGATGATTTTAGAAAACTAATTACAATTAGCATCGTTTCTACCCTTGGTGAGTTACTTTTGCATGTGGTCTTGGAGAACTGAGTGCTTGAGGCTTGTCTGTGTAAAGATAAACACCAACCTATAAGCTTACTGTAGCTTTAAACTAAGGAGCTGGATATACATTTTGCACGTGATTCTGATACATGTACAGACCCTTATGTTTGGCAATAGCATCGTGATTCTGTGCTTTACATTTTCATGTATGCATTTATTCGCATGTGAGTCATTTCTGTTTAATGTAACTCCTGTGTTTTATTTTGATTGGTTAGTGGTGCTGTTAAATCAGAAATGTCATCACTCATATTCTTTTGCTTCCAGGTCCACAGAGTCTCATCCTACTTGGGATCATGGGCAGAGATCCTCCTTTAAGAATTATGATACCCAAGCTCATCAAAGGCCATCTGCTGTCACATCATTTGTTGTTTCTCGTAATTCTGGAACTAGTGTTACTGCCAAGGTGTCCAGATTCCAAGACACTGAAGGGATCAGGTCGCCTCCCTTTCTGTCTAAAGATGTCAATTTTAGAAATTCCACTCAAGGTGCCCCCAGAAGGTTAAGTCCTTTCTTTCTTGTTAGTTTTTTCATTTTGTTGTCTGTGTTTGATCTTGATGAATTTGCACTTATTTACATTAGAAACTGCATTATGCCAACCTAGTGACTCTAGCTGTCAGAAGTGTGCTTACTTTTCTGCAAATGAAACTGTATTATATGACTGCAAACCTTTAATTCGGCCAGTGTATCAACTTTAGTGATATGATCTATGCTTGTTATATTGATCCATAACGAGGTTAATATGTTTTCTTTACCTTTTTCAACTTGGGGTTGAATAGTTTCTTATAGCCACTCAGTCTCAGATTTTTTTGTAAATATGTGCAGTCACTTAGTTGCTCCGAGAATACGATCACCTCCCTTGGTCTCTTATGAGGATTTGCATCCTTCCGTTGGAGTTGAAGAGTAAGTTCTTAGTTCAACTCTTTGTGCGTGCGTGTTTGAGTGTGAAATGATGGGTGACATTAAACTGTTAATGTTCTCATGAAATCCATCTGTTGTATGCTTACCATAACGCTGCCATGTATGGTACTTGGGAAACTATGTTTTGGGCAAGTACATAATAGTTCAGCTACATTATCTCCAAAAATACTGGTCTCTTTATGTTTGCATGTCTGCTCATTGCTATGGGATCATCATAGAGAAGAAAAGTATTTTCCCCGTGAACACTTTTTTTTTCTTATATAGGTACGTGCTTCATCTTTTATTAAAGATGATATGGATGGTTTCCTTTTGTGTTTTAAATATGGCTTTAATCTGTAAGATAACTTTATTCAATCCCACAATTTTTTGATCGGGCTGTTGGTTCACATATAGGCATGCATTTCCCTCTTCTGAAATGGATAGTCGTCAGAAGTTACTTGATCATCCTGAATTGCGGTTTCCTTAAGAACCTTCTCTAGTATCACCTTTTGATGGGTCCATATACTGGTAGAAATTTTCCTCTGAAACATGACAATGGTCAGGTCTCGAAAAGAACAAGGTTCCCACTTTTACTATATACTAAGACTAAGGAAGTTGGCCTAGAAAATTCACATTTTCCTTGAGATGACTATAAAACTTATATAAACATATATTGGTAGAGACCTAAAATTTTTTTAAGATTCATAACACAACTGGGATCTACTTTCTGTAGTCTGGGCAACCAAAATAGATTATGATATATGTGCAATGCATAGCAGCATAAGGAGAGAAATATAAGAGTTCTTATTATTTTCTTCTTCTACAAATGGGACAGTTACATTGCAAAGTTTATCAAGTGGTGTTTTACTGTAAAGTGAAAGTGGGTCTTTAGGTTTGGAAAAAGAGAAATTCAATGGAATTTGTGCACTTGTAAAACCTGTTATTCTTAGTGGCATTTTTATTGCATATGCCCCTTTGTATCCCCAAAAATGAGGTGGGAAATATTCTGAGTGAATCTCATATGACCCTTCCAGGCCTTCTGTATCTTCTGTTGGGTTCAATACTAGATCAAATACCAATTTTAGTACTCCTGATTCTCGGGTACATCAAAAGTCTTTGCAATCTGCAAGCAATACTATTTCTGAAGCTGCTGCAGGAAATGCGACCAACATCCCTGTGGCCAAAAGGACGAGGTCACCTCCTTTACTTCCGGAGGATCAAGTGTTTCATGGAAACTCTCATGCCACTCAAGATGGTACTGAACGGTAAAATTTAAGGTGTGTTGGTTATTTTCTACATGCTTACTCAAGCTTGAGGTTTACTAAATTATTTTTCCTGATGTCATTTGCAGAGAAATGCAAGCCAAAGCTAAGCGGTTAGCCCGGTTCAAGGTTGAATTAAGTAAAACTCCACAAAACAATCCTGATAATGTAGAACCAGGGGTTTCTGCAAATAGACATGAGCAATCTAATGTTGAGAGGAACAAATTAGCTGCATATAAATCTACCGAACTGGCTATGGGTGGTAGTGATGGCAATGCATTACCTGAGGATGAAGGCGTGGAGTCATCTGGTATCATTATTGGGTTGTGCCCGGATATGTGTCCAGGTATGCCTCCCAACCATGATGCACAATTATCTACGGTTCTTTATGTCTCTAGCATGACCACTTGATAAAATATGGAGGAAAGTAGGACAAATGGCCAATAGTGTCATCCATAAATGAGGAAATATCAATGAAACATTAACACTCCAGATTTTTAGTAATTTATATCCGTTGCCTTTCTTTTTTGTGCTAGAAGAGTAAGAGACTCAGTCCTTTAATCTCACTAAATTTTCCTTGATATTTTAGAGTCAGAAAGGGCAGAACGAGAAAGGAAAGGGGATCTTGATCAATATGAGCGCTTGGATGGGGATAGAAATCAAACCAGCATGTCCCTTGCTGTTAAAAAGGTATTCTTTGTGCTATTCCCTCCCACCCCCACTCTTCTAGAAATTACTTCTGTAATAAGATAAGGTGTGATGGATGTTCAATGTCATTTGTATGCAGTATAACAGAACAGCTGAGCGAGATGCAAACCTGATAAGACCAATGCCAATCCTGCAGAAGACAATTGATTATTTGCTCAATTTGCTTGATCAGCCTTACAATGATAGGTTTCTTAGAATTTACAACTTCCTGTGGGATCGGATGCGAGCAATTCGAATGGACTTGAGAATGCAGCACATTTTTAACCAAGAGGCTATTACTATGCTGGAGCAAATGGTGAATCCTCTTTACTTTTCCTCCTGTTTACTGATATGCTAGTGCTTTAACATAACTACATAATTATCAACATTTAGTATGAAGAAAAATGTGTGGATTTTTTTTTTTTTTTTTTTTATGAAAGGAGTGAGGATAATGGGATAGCAAAATTCTCTTATTCTTATGGCTCTTCCTCATAGTTTCTGAGGTCCCTTTGCATCGTCTGGTTTCAAGCTGTATAAAAAACACTGGTTAAATTATTCATATGTACACGTGTTATGTTTTTCTTTCTTTGTATAGGCACGTAACTCAGAAACTCCTATTTGCCTTTCTATGTATTTCACATACATATTATCTCAGCATTTTTTTTTTCTTCAAGGAGATGCATCTGGTTGGTGATAAATACAAAGCTCTGTTTGACTGATTGTTACGCATTGAGTTTCAGATAAGACTTCACATAATTGTCATGCATGAATTATGTGAATACTCAAGAGGAGAAGGCTTTGCTGAGGGATTTGATGCACACCTCAATATCGAACAGATGAATAAAACATCTGTTGAATTGTTCCAATTGTATGATGATCACAGAAAGAAAGGAATAAACATTCCTACAGAAAAAGAGTTTCGAGGTTATTATGCCCTTCTCAAGCTGGACAAGCATCCTGGGTACATGGTAAGGTCTCCTGCAGTAGTCACTCTGTTGTACATGGTTCATTTTGTTGTCTAAAATTAAGGGATTCGTGCTAGGTTGAACCTGCAGAGCTCTCGCTTGATCTTGCAAAGATGACTCCAGAAATAAGACAAACTTCAGAGGTGCTATTTGCACGTGATGTCGCTAGGTAATCACTTCCTTCACTTGTGTTTTCTAATTTCGGTGTGTAAACTGGAATATTGATATCGATTGATTTCCTCTTGCAGAGCTTGCAGAACTGGTAATTTTATTGCTTTTTTTCGACTTGCAAGGAAAGCAAGTTACCTCCAATCATGCCTAATGCATGCTCACTTCTCAAAGGTATGGTTAAATTTTGCTTATTTTGAGGTACTGCTTCACAATTATGTTTAGGATCTTTGACCTCACACAAAGATTAACAAGCTGCTCTATCTACCAGCAAGGCATTCAGTTGCTAAAACATCAAGTACTGTAAAATGCAGTATGTGCTTGTGGTTCTAGAAACTTGCTGAGCTGGATAGACAGAATCATATTAAAGATTTTGTTTCTTCCCTTCCAGCTGTATCAATCACATATTTATGTTCAGCCATGACATTCAAGGGAAATGTTTTGAACATACTTTTGAACTCTGTGTCATCAAAAGTATAGGCTTAAAAGATTTTTAAGTCTCAGCCATTGTTCTAATATGCTGTTGTAGAGTTTTAGTATTCTACTAAACCTAGCATATTTTTAAGATAAGGTTTACCTAGGGTTTTCTGAGCGTTTTCTTTGAGCATAAGTGTTTAAAGTGTTTGATTGGTAGCTTTCTTACTCAAAGAAGGGAAGAAGTTGTGAAATCAACCGTGTTATACTCGGATGGAAATCTTTTGTGAATAGAAGTTTGGGTTGAACTTGATTAAAGTATGGTTGCAGTGTCTAGGGCCTAGGCTCTAATGATTTTCATACTTTTGACCCAAGGCGGTAAGATTCGGCCATAGGGTCTTGTAACAGAATAATAACACCGCTCATCTTCAGCTGATGTGATTTACGTGTTGCTGCTGAAGTTAGATTTGTATATTGGTACAGATAAGATAACAAACAATCTTTTCTGTTTTGACCAGTTACGAACCCAGGCACTTGCTTCTATACACGCAGGTCTCCAGAATAACCAAGGTCTCCCTATTGCGGATGGTGCCAAGTGGCTGGCAATGGAGGTATGATTCTTTGGTTTGATTACAACTCCATTTTGGTACCCTGTGGCGAAGGAGGAACCATTTTAACTTATCTGATGCTCTGCTTTGATGATTGAAATTAGGAAGATGAAATTGAAAGCCTTTCAGAGTATCATGGGTTTGTAATAAAGTCATTCCAGGAGCCATATATTGTGAAGGAAGGTCCATTTCTCAATGGTGATGAGGATTATCCTACCAAGTGTTCTAAACTTGTCGATATGAAAAAGTCAAGAAGGATAGTAGAGGATGTTTTGGCTTCTAGTCAAGTCATACCCTCGTCTTCTAAACCAACAAAAAAGACTCAGTTGACTAAGTCAAATAAGCCTGAACCAAAAACTATTTCATATGTTGAAAAGAAAAGTCCTGTGCGTCGTGCTCCAGCCATTAGAGTTACAAAACCTCTCCATGAAGTTGATGAAGAAATGCCTAATTTTGAAGCTTTTTCACCCCCAAAAGATGCCAGACAAAAGCAGCAAATGATTCAAGCACCAATCTTTTCATCTCCGGAAGATTCCAGACAAAAGCAGCAAACGATTCAAACACCAATTTTTGGTATATACAGTGAAGATTCCCCTAAGGTGGCTGCTGTGTCTCCTTCCCCGTGGGGTTTCTCATCATTTACACGTCAGCCGGATAAAGTTGGTACCATTGAGAAGCGAAATTATGATGTTCTTTTTAGTAACTCTCCAGAGAGAAGCATGCATTCTGGCATGGAACGAATGCCACTGCAAATTGAGTCAAAAACATCTGTACAAGAGAAATCTGTTGGTATATATAGTTCCGGTAAGGAATATCCAGATATCCAAATTATGGTCACTGATAACTTGGAAGGCGAGGAACCTTCAGATCTTCATCAGATAGATGAAAACAATGATGTTATGGAGAGTTCTCAACAGGAAGAAATTGCAGAGGCAAAACTTAAGTTGATACTGAGGTATATAGCTTGTCGTACTTCTTTGGCTGTATGTTGAGGCTATTGTTATCCTGTACCTTCATGTTCTCACTTTTCTTCTCATCAGATTATGGAAGCGGCGTGCTCTGAAGCTAAGACAATTGCGAGAGAAAAAGCAGTTGGCAGCAAATGCTGCATTGAATTCTTTATCATTGGGGCCGCCAATTCAACTCAAGACAGATGTAAGCCTTTTCAATTTTATGAAACTAAAATAACTGTCTGCTTTATCGTGCAAGTTTGTTTTTGTTTGTGCTTAAAAGATAGTCATAAAGGCAGTAGATTTTCTTCTTTGTGAGCTTAGGTAGCTGTAGTTGGGTGATTATTGTTGTGGGTTCGAGCATGATTCAATAGTTTCGTCAATGGAAAGATAATTAAATTGTTGGATTTTAGAGATTGTTTCTTTGTTCACTGCTGTCTTACTGGATTTCTTGTCCCATAAAGTTCTTTTCTGACTTTTTGAAGCATTTGTTCCTATAGGAGAGTTGTGTTTACATCTGTTGGAACATAGTTCATTTGCTAGATTAGAAATCCAACTGATTATTTATCTTAGCCTTGGAACTTTTTTTTGTTTCATTTTGTAGCAACCAAGCACTTCTGGCGAGTTTGACATTGATCTCGTCTTGAGGGAGAGATTTAAAAACCATGGTCGGTCATGGTCAAGACTTAATGTTTCAGATGTAATAGCGGATATACTGGGCACAAGAAACCCGGATGCTAGATGCCTCTGTTGGAAAACTGTTGTATGTTCTCAGATGAACAATCTAGAAGGTGATGACCTGGGGCAGAGGAGCCACTTCTTGGGAGCAGCCCCCTGGTTGTTTTCAAAACTCATGCCTTCGGCAAATGATGCGGACAATGATGATGAGGATCTCGTAGTTTCGTCTCCTGGTGTCTCTGTATGGAAGAAATGGGTGCGTGGCCAAGCTGGTTCAGATCTGAACTGCTATTTGTCTGTGGTCAAGGATGCAAGTTTTGATAACCTAAGTCAGAGTGTGTCTGGTGCAAGTGCTGTTCTGTTCCTTACATCTGAAAGTATCTCTTGGAATTTGCAAAAAGTCCGTCTTCATAACCTTCTAATGTTGATACCTTACGGCTCCTGCTTGCCCCTTCTGATCTTAAGTGGCTCGTACAAGAACAATGTTGATGACTCCACTATTGTTGATAATTTGGGTCTCCGTGACTTGGATAAGTCACGAATAAGCAGCTTTCTGGTTGTTCCGCTTGTTGAAAGCCAGCAAATGGGACAATTGGATGGTTTTTTCAGTGACAACCAACTTAGGGAGGGGCTTCGATGGCTTGCAAGTGAATCGCCCCTTCAACCTATTCTTCATCATGTAAAAACACTCGAACTCGTTCTTACCCACTTGAATTCTTCATTGGAGCCACTAGACAGAATGAAAGATTATGAAGCAGGTCCAGACAACTGTATCCTTGCCTTCAACGAAGCATTGGATTGGTCACAGAAGGAAATTGCTGCTGCTGTCAAATCAAATCCATCCAGTTGGCCTTGCCCCGAGATTGCTTTGCTGGAGGAGTTCAGTGATGAGTACAGGGTTGTGAAATGGTGCTTGCCAAGCGTAGGATGGAGCTCAGCGGAAAAAGTTGAACCACTAATGTCAGCTCTAGGGGATTGTAGGCTTCCAGCTTTTCCCGACCATATTTCGTGGCTACCCCAATGTTGTAATGCAGGAAAGGAGATTGAGAACCTGAGAGGTGAACTTGAAAATGGCTTGATCGAATACCTGACGAATTCAAGTAAGATGATGGGACGTGCACTTGCTATAAAAGAGGCACATGTAATGCTACAAAGAAGTTGTCGACTGCAGCGCCATGACTCATGCTGCTATATAGTCCCGAATTGGGTTATGATCTTCAGACGAATTTTCAACTGGCGGTTAATGGGTTTAGCCAATGGGGCCTCTTCGTCAGCTTATGTCTTGGAGAGTCCTCATCTTAACGCAGTTTTTGAAAATCTGGGTAAGTTAGGGCTTGAAGATGCCGGACCTTCACCCTGTTACCTTAATCAGCCGTCTCTGGATGAAATCATCGAAGTTGGGCGCGCCCCTCTTTCATCCCATAGAGGTCAGCCCTCGGTAGAATCTGGTGTAGCCGTTCCTGAAACATCTCCTAATGGTGAAATCCACGAAGACCCCGAATACGACTGACTGGATGGAGGATGAACGAAGTTTAGCGCACGATGATCAAGCGGAAATAGAAAACGTATCCCACGAAAATGGGAGATTGGAGAATGCTGGCGGAGAAATGGTGGTGACTGGAGAAGTGGGCAAGGGGGCTGAAAAATTAAGCATATTGTTAGAACAGTGTGACATGTTACAGAATGTGATAGACGAGAAGCTGTCCATTTTTTTCTAATTTCTAACGATTTTGTGTACGAAGTTTGTATTACGTGTAATATTTGTTGTAACAATGTTGTATTTACCTGACGAGATATACCTAGTTCGGGATGGTTTACTCCGAAGTCCTAACCCCACACTGTTTCTCGACAGAATTTAACCTAAGCCTCGGTTAAGAACTGCGATAATCAACCGGAACCTCGCTACCCCGTGACACTGTCTTAGCCGTTGATGATTGGCTAGCAATGTTTTCACTACGCAACTTGTAGACAAGCATATTATGTACAATCGCTTCTAGCGGTTGGAACCTGATTGATGGTCAATAACCAAGATCTGTGTCCGAAATCCCAATATACAAGATACACCGGAACATACTACAATTTTCGGGCAAAGTAGTTATCGCTAGGATAAGAATTGAGGTTCGCCAAAGAAGGTGAAGGCATGTAGGCCACTCTTGCACCGAAGATATTGCCACTTGATGAGGAAACAAACAACATGAAAAAAGCCCCACATTCCATGACAATCTCATACCTTGATCACATTATTGAATCGATCCAATCCAACATTATCGCTCAAAAATCAGCATCCAAATAGCACCACACGTCTTCTCATCGTTAACAAAGTTAAACAAGATTCGAATTCTGAAACTCTAACCATAGCGTTACAGAAAGCGCAATTTACCGCTCATAAGTAGGTCATGCCTAAATCAGTTAAGAATCCAATTCGGTCTCAAGAGGAAATCATATTATACATATAGCGAAGTGGTAGGAGCATACACAATATGTTATATCTACTAATCATCGTTAAGTTTTAGGAGATGACGAATTACAACCGAAGCTAACAACAAGATTAAGTATGTGAAATGTTCGCCCTAAATTCCATGTACCTCCTACTTCAATCTCATTTCCTCCCTCTATCTATATTGTTGGATTAGCAGAAGAGAATATGTTCTCCAGGCATATCACACAGGTCAGAAACCGTGTTATTAGTGAGATTAGCGTTCGGGGGAACACCTTCTACATGCAGAACCAACGCTTCTGGTAACGGCTGAATGCCCCGCTAACACACATCCTGCAATCAGAAAAAATTGAGTCAGGTATTTGAACAAAGGCATTGATTGACTCTCCAAAGTGATCTCTCCAATAATAAGCTTGTTATGGTCAACTTAATTGGAATTGTATCTGATATAAAAGGACTGAAGGGAACATCGAGTAAATAAGTACCACTTAAGAAAAATAACAAGGAGACGTGTGGCAGCTGCATTAAGGCCCTTCAGTTCAACCGCTGCAGTCAATGGAGGGAACATAAATGGATAGTTGTAGCATAATAGTCGCATAATAATATATGACAGCTTAACAGACATACCAACTCACAGGGCTCTGACATGTAGGAGATGGAACAACAATAGCTGGGCTTCGATTCATCGAAAGCACAAGCTGACAAGACTGTATTTCTGAGGAATCACTTCTCACAGAACGGTAAACTTCCGACCCAGTGGTTACAGATGACTCAGAAATTTTTCTCACCCTTGTTGCCGGCCTATTATTGGCCCCACTAGCTCCATCTGTAGCACCACCAGCTGACTGTAGCACGCACAATATAAAGTTGGTAAACGAGCCAATCAATAGAGCTTACATCGGAAAACAATGCCCACTATAGCTAATATGAGATTATGCATGTGTCATGTGCAACGCAATATGAAGCAGCAATACAATAGGAGTGTAATAAGATTTCTCATATTCCTCTATTCCTTCATGTTATAGATAATATCATCAAGCTAGTTGTAAATTTAAATCCTCTTCTGGACATGGGGCATATGTTACCCAGTGTCCGATGTCACCCTGCTAAATCGTATGATCAGAAATTTGCCGCTTAAAATGTGCAACTTTACAATAGAAACCAAACAGAAGCAAAAGTGTAACCTTATTATGGAAGCCCCTAGGGACCACATATCCTACACCCAAGAATCTTACAGCTTACCACCATAAGGACCGATGGGAGTTCGTACAAAGCATGGGCATTGGAATCAGCCTAAGGAAAAGGTAATAAACTTAAGAGAAGGTTTACACAATTCATACATTGGACAAGCCTTTGATGTGAACAATGATTATTGTTATATCATCTGTCCGGGTTTCATGTTCTAACCATAATTTGTATGATTCTCCAGCAATGGCAGCACATGCATCTCGAGGATCTGGATATCTTGCCGCCTGTACGAAGAATTGTGTGTGAATATTTGTGAGCAGGAAGGATAGTAATAGAAATATTTAAAAATTAAAAAGAGAGAACTGTTTGACATTTTATTCTTTTTGGTGTAGCATTGATGCTAAATAATTACATATTTAATGAAAACTCTGTAACTATACAGGATGAAATCCACATATAAATTGGTCAATTACACAGGTAGAAGATATATGGACAAGAAAGGGCAGTACCTCAAACGCTAACTTGCTTGCAAACTGTAAAATGTCAAACGACTTACCAGTTCATAAATGCTAAAGAGGAAAGTACACAAGCAACTTCTACTTTTGGAATATTCTTAGATACAAATACGACAACATGACATTAATGATTCTAAATGAGCTACCAATAGTGCAACCATTAGTTTATATTGAGCTCAGTCTCAACAACCATAATAGATATGCCAATGACAAGATGGTTTTATCAACAATGTTCCACAATGATATTTAAAGTTTCTTCCGTACTTATAAAATCAACTCCAAATAACAAACTTATTTTCTGATGGCAATAGAGGTTTCTTCCGTACTTATTGCTTTTATATGTCGAGAGCTAACAAATCCCAACGTATCATACACCAACATGGACACAAGAGCATACAAACAATCATTTGCCTTGGTCATTGTACAATATGCAAGATGATGAACTATCCTTGAGATACCAAAAGCGGCAAAAGATCAATGTATTAGCAATGAGACATTCAAATACAATGCATCAATAACAAAATTAGTTGAGCATCATTTAAAAGGGTAACAAACAATGGAAGAATAGCTTTATCGCAGTCTACAAATGGTCAAAGTGACATACCATATCAACCACAGCTTGGCTTGAGAGGAACTCGAAAACTCCATCACTTGCGACAACAAAGAAGAGATGATTAGGTGTCAGCTTAACCATTGAAACCTCTGGAGTGGCAACCACACCAATCGTCTCAGCGGTACTATCACCTACACTCCTTGTAAACGCAGTTCCAGGATACCTTCCATTTGGAATCCACAACCTTGGAGGATCACCACTTTCACTCTCTTCATCACCCCACGTCTGGATATCTGGATCCTTCAGCCCCTCCACTTGATCAACACTCATAACTCTGGCCCCACACAGCTTCACTCTCTCATACTCATCTTTCCTAAATGGCGTTTGGTCACAAGACAAGTCCTCTGCAATAATTCTATTACCATCTTTAACTGCAATCACTGCTCTCGAATCACCCACATTCGCGACATAAAGGGTATCCCCAATAACAAGCACAGTAATTGCCGTGGTACCACTCATAGTATCATCAATCTTACTATTATGCAACTCATAATTCGTCGTTAGAAAAGCAGAATTGTAAGATTTCACAGGGTCAGCTGACAATGTGGAATCATTGGCTAATATCTCTATTAACCTGTCCTTAACAAAATTAGCACACTGGGTACCAAGTTCGCCATGCCCATCAAACACACCAAAGAAATGGATATTCGGGTTACCTCGGACTTGCTTACTAACACAGAAACTGTCCTGGTTTTCCTTATCCGGCGAGTCAGGATAGTAGCCGCGCTGTGTTAACAAAGAGTACTCCAAACGATAGCCATGTGAAGGAACAGGGACGAACTCCAATGACCTCTGTGAGAGTATGTGCTTCCTCTGAGCGCTGTACGGACCAGCATCTCTGAAGTCCCGGAGATCACCATCGGAAGACTGGGGGTAACGGCCACAACACTTGCCATGGACACAACCCATGGCTTCTACAAGGGAAAGAATCGAGATGAACAGAGCCAAGAAATTGAAATCCAGGTCAATTGCACCCAGGTGTTTGTGAAAATGCCTGAAAGAAACTAAGCGTGATCAGCTTCCAAAACGCAATTCTTGGTGCGAATGGTGAAATGGATAATCTTGGAATTCGACATTGTGGAGCTTGAAGTGGTGATTCTGAGCAGAGCTCATGATTCAGAACCAGAATTTAGGCACGATGAGCAAAACCCTAAAAGCAAATGAACTGAGAAATGGATCCCTCTGAGCTGTGACTACAGAGGATCAAGCTTTCCCCAGATGATAATTTCAGGTGGGTTTTGTTTTCCACCCTCAAAGAAATGAAATTTCCGGGAAAATTCTCAGAAGAGAAAAATATCCGCCACCCAGAAACGATGTTCAACACAAAACCACAGAGCAACCCAAAGGAATAAAAAGTTTAAAAGGGGGAGACCTTTTTGTGTTTCTGTGATCACACGCGCAATGGGGGAATTGACACAGAAAACCGAGGAGTTTGTGGGTTTTCAGAAGAAAAAATACAAACTCTACTTTCTTTTGAGGGCACAAGATCAGGGCTCAAGAACTTAAAGATTCAAAAATGCGAAGCCCTAAGAAAGGAAGAGTCCAAAGAATATGGGGTCTGTGTCTGTCTCTGTCTGTGACTCTGAGAAATGGTGGCGAAATGGGGTTTCTTGAGAGAGAGAGAGGGAGAAAGGGGGATGAGATTCCATGTGTGCATGGGTGGGTTGAGTGTGTGAAAGAAACCCATGTCCCAAGAAACCAACCAAACCATGTAGAAGTAAAGGTCCTGTTCTTTTTTGTAATTTTAATTTATAAACTAGCATATAGGCACATACAACATACAAGATATTTGAGAAAATTTTTTATTTTTATTTTTGAAATAGAATGAGAGAGGAAGAGAGTGACAGAGAATGTAGGAGTGGGAAGCTTTTTTTTTTTTTTTTTTTTTTTTTTGTTAATTAGATATATGTTAGGATTACATGTAGGTGAGGTTTTGAAAAAAAAATAGCAAAATTTAGTTGTGTAAAATTACATTTCTGCCCCATATTTCTTATTCATGTTCTGTTTTAATAGGGTTAAACTGGTAATTTCATAGGGTTTTGGTTGACAATGAGTGTTTTATTAATTAGTAGAGATATATAAAGATTTTTTTAGCCAAAATAGTTCCTAAGATTTGCATAACTCATCATTTTGGTCATTGAGATTTGAAATCGATAGAATTGGTCCATGAGTTTTTCCATAATCAATCATTTTGGTTATTCCATGAAAAATCTCCATAAAATAAGAATAAAATGACAAAAATACCCTTAATTTTGGTCAAGTCATTTTGGCTTATTGTTTATTAAATTGAGGTAATTTTGTCATTTGGATCCTTATTTAACATAATTTTTCACCCAAGGACTAAAATGATGGATGGTGGACAATCTCAATGATCATTTCTATTGATTTCAAATCTTAGGGATCAAAGAGATGAGTTATGAAAATCAGGGACCATTTTGGCTAAAAAGCCATATATAAATTTTTAAGCATTGATTCATGGACTTTGGTCTAATTAGGGGGCGTTTGTTGTGCCAGACTATCTTGGACTGGATTAGCTTCAAGGACTAAGCTGGACTGGCTTAGACTAGACTAAATTGGACTAACTTAGTGAAGCGTTTGGTGCAGTATTGGACTAAGAAGCTGGATAATAACAAATTCTAATATTATTTTATTTAATATATAAATTATTAATATTTTATTATGATCTTATCTTTTTCTCCATCTTTTCCTACCATTTCCGTACCACTCTTTTCCTCTTCTCTCATCGTCCCATCCTCTCCCTTTTTTTTTTTCTCTCAGACCTCTCAATTCATGTCTCTTTCTCATTCCTGGTCAAACTCCTTATTGATTCCAGTCTCTATTTCTCTGTCCTCCCTCCCTCTCTAGCTATGCGTTGTTCGAACGGAACCGCACGGCTCCAATTTTCCCGACGAGTTGCAGGTTTCCCGATGTGTTTTTTGGCCAACCCTCATTAAATTGGATGAAGTTAGCACCGCCAAAAAATTCATCACCATCCCTGGACCGAGATCTTAGTTTTGCATGCTCGAATTTGTCATGGATTTGAAGAAGCCCAAACAGGCCGAGACTTCCAGGCCATTTTTCGGCCACATTCGACCACATTTTGGCCTCGATTCAAGTAAAATCATAATCTTGTCACTCCCAGCTTCAATTTGGTATATTTTATATGAAAGTTGGTTGTGAAATGGATCTGAAAGAGAGTCGGGAAGTTAATGATTGATCTAGGTGACCGGCGATGACGAGGAGTCTGTCGGGAGTGGTCGTTGAGCATGACAAGGACGAGAAATAGATGATAGTCTTAGCTAGTCCCATGGTTATTTGGGGGTCTCACTAAGACCTCTTAGTGAAGGGTTTTGTCCATGCTAGTCCCCTTTAGTCTCATTAATATTAGTCCCAGCATGGAACAAACACAGTATTGGACTAATAGCTAGTCCAGTCCAGTCCAGTCCGAGTTAGTGAGGGCAAACAAACGCCCCCTTAGAGTTTTGATTTCTAAATTAAAACTTGTTGTTTCAAAAGGAAATATTACATAAGAATATCTCGAGATCATGAGACTCTAGCTATATCTGTAACTAGCAACAGATGACAAGAAGGAAGAGCTTGTTAAAAAAAGATTGGACCCAAACTGCATGACAAACCCAAACAAGCCAAATCATCACCAACAAAATACTTTTTACGGCAAATATGTCGAATTTCACAAAACCAACTTTGGTGCATAAGAGTATAACAATTCAATACTAAACTTCCCCAAGAGTGATTATCCACTTTAGCATTTAAAATAAATTGTACTGCAAGTGCATAATCCAATTCTATCATAATCTTCTCAAACTCATTATTCCAAGCAAGTTGTAGTCCAATAAAAATACCCCTACCTTCAGCACATAGAATGTCACCTCGACCAACAGTAGCAAAAAAACCAGAGACCCATGCTCCTGACGAGATTCTGAGAACACCACCACCAACAATGAAATTGGCCAACCCCTTGCAACACCCATCAACATTTAAGTTTTATCTAACATCTATGGTGGAAACCATATTTGCCTAAGCCAATCTTTCACGTAAGTAATAATAACTGAGTTGGAATCACTAAGGAGAGAAAAATCATGTTTAAAAATATTTTTGTTTCGCCAATGCCACAAAAACTAGTAAGTTATAGAAAAAACCAAGACTAATATTTTGGAAGAGATATGATTTTGGAACTAATTATTAGTACATGCATCAGTAAAAAACTATCAAGAGCAGGAAATTTTCTTCAAGCCTTAGCAGCAAAAGAACAATCTCTAAAGACATGAACAATTGATTTAAAAACACCATCACATTTCCCGCATGAAGAATCCTAGCCAACCCACGTCTAACCCAGTGTTCATTGATCAATAATTTGTCTAGCAACAAAAGCCAAAGAAAAAAGAACACTTTAGGATGAAGATGCAACTCCCAGATAAAGCTTCATCGCTACTTGGTGGTCATATTAGCGTTTAGGTTCAACACATAGGCAGATTTTACAGTAAAATTACTATCACTAATTGGTCTCCATATACACTTATCTAACAAGCCACCAAAATACTATCCACAATAATATTACCAATTTTAGAGACAATTACTTTAGAAAGGAAATGGATCAAGCATTTTGCATCCCAATTCCCACTATAGTAAAAATCAGCCACATACGACATAAGAATAGTTGGCAAAAGACACCATTTTGAATTAATTTTGATAAATCCTTTAATAATAATAATAATAATTTTTTAAATAAAACCAACCAATTTTGAAGTAATTTTGAAAAATTCATATAAATTAAATATTTTTTTTAAAGAGTACGATATTTATTAAGATGATAAGGATACATACACGAAGGAGATTAGAATGCATAAGTGGGTCTCAATAAATATTAAAGACACCATTTTGACTATTGAGCATAAATGGAATCGTCTAAGTTGAATACACTCCAAGTATCTCCAACTTTTTGAGTAATTAATTTGTTGATGTTAATTTTGGTCAACACGTTATTGAGTGTTTTCCTTGAATTGGAATATCGAACCGAGTCCTTCAAATTGGAGCCCTAAATCTAATTAAATACTAGTAAATAATATACTCACCTTGTATGGAGAAATTTTTAGTTGTGACGAGAACACGAATAGTACATCACGTGTTTTTATATAAGTGATGGAAAATTTTAATTTTTAAATTATTAATCTTTTAACACACATAACCCACTATTTATATATAAATATATGATGTACAACATCGTGTGATGGTGAACTTGAAAAATCTCACTCTCGTATGGTATGAAACCAAAATTTATTATTTAGTGCGTTGCAATTTCAAATTTGGAATAAACCTACAAAAAAGCAATGTTATCAAAAACAAAGCAAATGCATCAAATCACTAATATGGACGGGTGACGTGTGGGTCGGGTTCGCATGGAATAATAGTCTTTGCAAAAGCTGAAGAGAGACGGCTTTTCGAAATGATGGCTTGCTTCCTTGCTTTGCGGAAAGACAACATCAACAGAAACAAAAAGAAAAGGGTAGTGCCGGCCACACATGTCATTCTATTTCTCATATGTTGTTTTCAATTTTTTACCGTGTGATTAAATGAATGTAATTAAAGAATAAAAATTAAAAAATAATAAGTGAGAAGTAAAAAGATGTATGGATAGGACAACTCAAAGAAAAATCAAAATATTCATGTTTGTATAACTTTTCAAGTGACAGTAACATTAATATTAATTCAGGTGTTATAATTATGAGTTGGTAATAATAATGATATTTTATGAACATAATGTGGTGACGAACTGAATTTCGAACATCTTCTTACCTTGAAAAGAAAGATTGATGCTAAGAACATAAAAATTATAATGAGATGTCAAATGGGTACATTATACCTACATGTGGTGCAGGAGTAGGCTAAGGTTCACAATGGGCATCAATAATGTAGTTCAAATTCGTCTTTGTCAAGAATTGAACCTAATACTTCTGACTTACAAGTGAAGAGGAATAGTATTAGACCGCAGTATTAAGCAACGAAAGCAATTACTTAAATCAAAATAAAGTTTAACACTCAATGATTGCATGTTTAAAAATATCATTAATAATAAGTAAAAAGAGCAACAAACATAATGTTCACTAAATAATCAAAAGCAGTTCAATCTTAAACAACCAAATAAGCAAAAAAACAAAAAAAAACCTTCAAAAACTCTAACTTTAAAGTTTAAGTTGAATATATAACATTGTTATATAATAAAATTGAGCAAAATACCCTTGTAGGGTGTTATTATTGGCATTCAAAATATCTCATTGTACTCCAAATTTTTATATTTTGAAAGCAAAAAAAATTACGCTTATAAGAAATACATGATGAGATTTTAAAATGATAACAAAAACAATTTTTAAATATAGAACATTATTTAACAGAAGTAATTTTAGAATCTACAAAACATTAATACATATAAATATTAGATGAAAAAAATTTAGGGATCCTTCCAAATTTTAAGATCATGTACGACTACACCTTTTACTCTCCCTCAACACCCTCTCCGATAATTGCAACAGCTATACAGTCACCACTAGACAAAATACACAAATCTCCTAAGCTGCACAAACTTGCTAAGCGGAGCAGCGTAAAACACTAAAAAATATTACCTAAACTAAAAAGGAAACCACCAGTCAACTCGTCTCCACACAC